ACCCACTTCTCTCCAAAAATTTCAAATGGCAATGAACAGTAAATGTGAGACATAGCTCTCTACCTTCTAACAGCGAAAAAATAGATTGCAGTAGTCTTATCATTGCTAAGCCCTTAGAGGTAAAAGCAAAGGTTTTTTCAGGGTTGAACCCCGGATCCCTGAGCAAGTTCTGCAATGCTGGGACGAGTTCTTCGCACCCGCACGCTGCACCAATAATTCGCGCGGGCGCTCTGGCTGCGCGAACGGCGAGTTTGCTGAAGGTCACAAGTAATGGCACGCATCCGAAAGAAAGTGCATGCTGTGACCAATGAGCTGGCATTTACCAAACGCTTTGCGGGTTTTGATCTAGGAGCTACGGATGGGTCACGTCACCTCGAGGAGAATCGTGCATATTGCTAATTAGCTATCAAGTGACTCGGCTCAAGAGTAGTTTAATATGGTGAGCCTTAACTTATGTAGTTACTTCGCTTTGGCTGTCTCTGGCTCTAATTTGCAGTCATTCTGCGTTGCTTGCAATCTTAGGCGTTTGAGAAAAAATGTATGCTGTTTCAACTTTCGTAGCTCTCCAAAAGGCGGAAAGGCAGAGCGTCAGTGGTGTAAAGATCGGTACCAATCTTAGTCATTTCTCAGGAAAACCATATGTTTGTACCACATATTTGTAAGAAATTTTCCAAACGAAAATACCATGCTGTACCGTTATCGAAAGGCTGAAGACGAAGAGCTAATGCTTGCACTTTTTTTAGACTGTATGCAAAATCATTTCTTCCTAGGCTGCGCTTATACGCTGCATTTGCGACGTTCTTGGTTCCCAAAGCTAATATGGGCATGACTTAGTCTAACTATTTTTCGAACGACCTAACCTTGGATGGAAAAGGCACTGATAGTATTCAATCTCAGATTTTTAAAGCCTAAATAGACATTAAATTTCGCGTCCTCGTGGTCTTTGTCCCTTTTTTAAGAATCGTAATTGAATAATGTGAAGTGATTGGCTTTTATTTTAACAACCGGTTTTCTTAGATAGAGGGCAATTTGATTTGGGCTTTCATGTATGGGATGTTTGCGATGGAAAAAATACTCTTAAGGCTGGAAGCGATGTACAAAGATCACTGTGATACACGCTGACCGCTAAAGCCTATCCAACTTTTGAACGCTTAATTTCATCTAGCAGACGGTAGGCAATAGTTGCGAAACTCTTTAAGAATGTGTAGTATCACCTTCTTAGCAATTTCATTCTTTTCGGCTTCAATTTTTTCTTGATGGCTTGTCAGATTGAGGTATGTAGGCGGGAACCTGGACCCTCTGAGCCAAATGGATTTCTGAAGGAAAAATTTACTTATTTGCCTCACAACGGAAGGATTCAATAAAATGGCGATTAAAAAGGAATGTACTATACAGATAGATGCAGCTCAAAATGCTGATTGCAAATCTGTCTTCTATATACAAACGACTCTCTGGATAAAGTTATGAATGTTTCTTATCTGTCAAAAAATGGTAGCACACCAAAAACGTCCAGACGTTCAACTTCGTGCCAAAACAGCAAGCAAAATTGAAAATTGAGGTAACAAGGTTTTTATAAAAGATCTTTTGTTCTGTTGACTAAATTTTATCATTTCTTCCAAAAGAAGACTTAGCAAATATGACAGATTTGAATGGAACTGCATCTATACGTGTGGTTCCTCTTGATTCGCCATTTTGAATGAGTATCCATCCTTGTTGGATAGTAAACGATTAATAAAATAACCTTGATATCATCAATTTTAGGTCTTTTGTAAGGTTCCATCGAAAGCATACTTTCAATGAGCATTCGTGATGAATGCTCTAAATACATAGGCAGCGAAAAAGTTCCTTGCAAAATAGCCTGAAAAGCGAGCTTTTCGATACATAAGAAACAGAAGTATTCCAACGAAAACTCACTGATTTTAGTTCGGGCACAGATTCTCCTCGGAATGGGGTAATACCGACAAGCATGAAATGAAGCAGGACACCCAGCGCCCAAATGTCAACCATAGATCCAATATAGCTTTGATCCCTGCATAAGTACTAATTCACTATTCGATGGTTTTACAAAATGTTAAAATGTAATACACCAGACCGATTTAGGCCTGAACGATAGGAGATGAAAAAATACTCTGCTAAAGCGCGAGTTATTTAGCAATTAGAAAAAAATAAACAAAAAGAGACAATATCGCATGATATAACTTTCACAGCAATATATTAGCTGCCAATCCTACCTAAGTAAGAGAAATGGCTAAAAAATTATAAAAGAAGCGTACCTAAATAGTTCAGGAGCAGCATACGGAGGACTGCCACAGAAGGTTGTTAGCTGCTCTTGTGCAGATGGAACCATACAGGAGAACCCAAAGTCAACCAATTTTACAACTCCAGGAGCAGAAAACATGATGTTTTCGGCTTTAATATCGCGATGTACAATATTTTTCTTATGCTGCAACGGATATTCTCGAGACATTGAAAACTGCAAATTGAAGAATAAATTGACCATGTGTGAAACGGCGGCTACCACTTGTGCAAACAACGGTTTAGCTTCTGCATCGGTCAACTTCCCTCTTTCATGGACGTAGGCATACAGTTCTCCTCCGCCCGCGTATTCAAGGATTAAATGAGTTCGAGTTAAGGTTTCCACACACTAAAGCAGATTCTATGGTTTCATTCAGATGTAAAGGACATAGAAAATGCTTTGTT